CTTCTTATTTGCGATGCACTTTTAACGAGAGCAGTTCTGCCGTATTTTTACTAAAACTCTCCTGAAAAAATACCTCTTCTGTTCTCCATTGTCCTCGTGCAATCATCTGCCTGAAAGTGTAAAAAATACAAGGAGAAAAATCTCTGTAATAATCTAGTCTCATTTTCCTTCATCGTCGTCAGCATGAAACAACTGGGAGGAATTTTTGCTTGGCAGCCCGTAATCAGACAGACAAACCTTGATCAGCTGCATTCAGGACCATTTTGCTACAGCTTCTCATTGTGTGTGTGTGTGTGTGATTGTTTACATCTATTTATGCCTAGATGTGTAATTGCATATGTAAGTGTAGGTTTGTGTGTGTGTGTGTGTGTGTGTGTGTGTGTATTTTAAGTGAGTGGGAGTCGTGGTGGGGTTCGGTTTTCAGCCTGGGTTTACGTGACAGTTCAGGCTTCTTTGTTGTGGTTTGGGGTTTGGCTGCCTGAGGCCCCTGTGTGATTCCCTGCCCTGTTCTGCTGCTACGCTGTGCGTTAGACTAAAGACAACTTTTGACCTTTATCATAGACTCTAGTTCAGAATATAAAAGGTGGCAATAAGAGTGCTGAGTAGAAGCTGGAAGTGGCTTTTCTATGATAATAATCAGCATGTTTATTCACTTTACACTGTGTAGACTGACACTCCTTGATGTTCTTTTTTTCTTTTGTAGAATTCTCTTAAAGAATAATATATACAATAAGAATATATATATAATATTTAAGCTTGTTACCATGTCTTTTTTTCCTATAGTGTTGTTGACCTTCATTCTTATTGATAACAGATAATTGCTGAGATTCAAAAATGCTGCACATCGTCGCTAAATAGAAGCCTGATGGGCCGGGAAATCTAAACTCACAGGTTTTCAACAAACCTATTTAGAAGAGAAAAGGCTAAAATATAATTGTTACCCAAAATGTTAGCTCTAAATATCCATCAAGTATTTTCAGACCAACTTCTGGTTCAGCTTTTAACTTTATTTAACTTTGACATTTCAGGACCACTCACATTTGCTTTTATTTCCAAATAAATGGTTTAGATGATCTGGTAAACATGTTGGATTGTTAACAACTTAATGAAAGACTCTGAAAGTCTGAGTTTGTTATTAGCTTCCAGATCACAGCAAATAGCTTTGATAAGTTATCATACTGGTTATCTAGTTACTGATAAAAGTATGCAGCTGTTCTATAAGCTCTGTGAGGCTGTACATTGACACTTCAACATAAATGTATAGACTGTATATAAAGATGGCAAACCCTCTGTGACGTCACCCACAGATTTACAGACTAGCGGTTTTGAAGTGGTTTTGAAGCAGAGTGGTGTCGCCCGCCGTTGCCATTTTGGTGACGCCTGACTCCGCCTAACTCTTGGCCAATCCCAAAATGAGTAAAGCTGTGGAACATTATGTGAATCTAAGGCAGGCCATACAAACATCTCTATGCCATGGACTGTTCTATGACGCGACCCACCTGTCACTCAAATCCACTACGCTCTTAATTATTCATAACTTCAAGCTGTATTACAATTTAAATGGGTAAGCTATGTTAAAATTCATCCCTGATATAGTTGTCATGAATGAAGCTATAAAGACCAGAACGGTTTTTGTCTCATGCTGTAAACACATTTATTTACGCTGTAACGTTGGGCATTTTAACATGGGGGTGTGTGGAGATGGAGTCGCTTTTGGAATCAACCCCAAGTGGCCTTTAAAGGAACACATTTGGTTTCACTTTTCAGGTTGCTGCTTGGAAAAACACTCATGTCAGCATGCTGACAGCATGAAGCATGCACTCGAAAATGGTACGTTTTCACCTGACGTTTTCATCCAAGTTATTAAAATTCATGAATGTCTGTGCCAAATTTCACGGCCATCCACCAAGTTGTTGTTCAGAAAAAACGCAATGGTGGACTCCATGGTGGTGCTTGAATGGTTTTCATTCTTAGTGTAAATGCCTCATCAGAATTTTATCTGAATCCATCCTCATCATAGGACCGTCAATACAAAGCAACTATACTTCTCTTTTAGGTTCTTGAAGAAATGTACCTTCTCATCCAGGAGCCTTCTTCAGTTCAGACCTGAATCCATCCAGTTGTTGACTTATTTCAGTCTCAACCAAAGTGCTACAACCGACCACCATCACGTCACCAGGCCTTGAGCCAGTGTGGCTAAAATTAGAGACCTACGTTTCACAAACTGGAATCACCATATCTTGTATTTGCACCAGGAAAACTGATCTGTTCTGTCATTTACATTCTTTTAACTGCATTTATTTTGAGACACAAACCGGCATTCATTTGTCTTGATAGCCTTTTCTTACTCAGTTCAGTGATTAACCACCAGCAAACACTTTTACTGATGAAAATCTGTCTTACAAACAATACACTTTTTACCCCTCCATTGCAAACGCCCCATATATATATTTGCCTGTAATGTTTTTTTGACGGAGCACCACCAGCTGACCCTCATCTCTGGCCGCAGTATGTTTCCTCCAGCTGATAGGTGTATGAGGCAGGAAGTTTTCCATATTCCTCCACACATCCGTTGAGAAACAACAAAGGCACCGGGTATTGTCTTGAAAACCGTCCAACCCTCTCTGAACCTATTATGCAAGGGTCAGCCTGTATTTGTGTGTGTTTCCAGTCAAGTCACCTTTATTTATGAAGCACATATGAAACAAACCCTAAGTGCTTTCCACTTGAGAAAAGAGATTGCGTGTTTTCGCTGTTTCGATCAAAACCTTGAGTTGGTGTTTGATTAGCTGATTGTACAATGCATTGTTTTCACCATGTCCTCATAGCAACCAATTATCACATCTGGCCCAGCTACAGTGAGACCAAACCATTAGTCACAAGCTGCTAATCCACCATGCCATCAGAAGGTAATTGCCCTTTACCATAGAAAAAAAAAAAAAATCCAGTGAGGCCTGAAGGTGTTAGTCCTGTCTACTAACCACTAATCTACTGTCTATGAGTACCTGAGTTAGCCTCATCCTCTGTGGCTCCTGGCCAAGAAGCAGCGATGCTCAGTGTTTGAGTTGGTTGCCTGCCTGCCTGCCAGCATGCTCTGTCATTGAGATAATAGCTGTTTTCTGTCTGTTTTTGTTCAGCCTCTGGGCTTTTGTCGTGAAATGTCAGTCTTTGTGTTTTACTGCAGGGGGATTTACCTGCAACATGTTCTGCTTCAGGGAACTGCTGCTAGTATAATACAGAGCCTAAAGAAAGACTAAATGGATTAAATGACATTGGAATAATAGATTTTTGTCCTGTGTGTGCTGTTTGTTCCTTCCTTTAAAAAAAAAAAATCTACTTCTAGAAATGAAAAGGTGAGAGCAGCTGTTAGAAAAGCTGTGTCAGCTCATGAAATGAGCTCGGCGTAATGTTCAGTGTATCAGAAGTCTTGTTAAATTAATTTTTTTTTCCATTTCAGCAGCCTGAAAGGTCAACTTGTTCAGTGACTTGACTCTGCATGAGTTTACACAGCGATTTGTGTATTCAGTGCACGCACACTCTCGCACAAGGGTCCCAAAATGTTTTTGGAGCACCCATAACTTTAACCATTCGACTCAGCTATTTCTCTTTCCACCTCAAGAACAATAAATCGCCTGTCTTACTGCACATGTCGGTGTCTGCGACGGATTATCCGGGTGATTTAAACTCCTCAGGGTGGAGGCTTTTCTTGGGGAAATGACCTGGCTGTGCTACTGGCACCCCTGGATCTGCCCCTCTGAGGTGAAAGGGCTTTTACAGCTGCTTTGTTTTCACTGTTTGCAAGTGTATAAAAAGGTTTAGAGGAGGTGTTTCATAGTGATGGAGTACCATATGGTCATGTGTGTGGAGAGGAGGGGTCCGAAGGTGAAGAATGTGGCCAATAAAACATCTTTATGCGCTATTTCCCATAACTTATCTTAGGGTCTGACCTTCTTTATCACGATGAACCCTTTTGGTGACCATTTGAAAGCCAGCTCAGTGCTGCTGAAGAGCAAAAGAATGTGTGTATTTTAATTAATCTGACTCAGTGAGCGGTGCGCAACGTGACGCCGGTTTCCTGTTTAGGGGTCTCCATGTGGTTTGCGCATGTTTGGTCTCACCCACGCCACAAGGAAGGATACACACCTCGCCTATTCAACAGCTGGATCAGGACAAGGATTAGCACGCTGAATGGAAGAACAGGATGAATGTTTTGTTCACTGTGCTCCTACTTTTTTTCTGTATGTTGAAGAGCTGAACGAGATTCGTCGCAAACCGCATTTTCCCAGAGAAACAATCAGCGGAGCGTTTGGCTGACAGTCACGTGGAGTGAACTTTGGGATTCTCTCTTCTGAGGACAGAGAAAACAGGCCAGCAGACAGCTGGGACGCTGGGAAAGGAGACAGTGCTTGCCCTGGCGCGACTTTTTTTTTTTCTCAAAGTGTGGGAACGTTTTTTCTTTTAATAACAACTTTGCCAAATTTTCGTAGCGTTTAACTTTTTCAAAACTGAGTGCAGGTGGAGACCTGAATCTTTCGTTGGATAGTTTAAGAGCTGCCAGGAGAGCACACATCTGTGAACGGATAGTTGAAATACTGAGGTCGTCTTCAGTTGGCTAAGTGTTTTGGCACAATGACCTACTGAGATGCAAATTTCTCTCCAAATATTTGCGCACGGATCCTTTTTCTTAAACATAAAAAGTGGGCAAATTTACCTTTTTCATGGATGAAAAGAAAACCTCCCCTCATTCGGATCAGTATTAGAATAAATCTCTCGATGCATTTTCAGTCTTACTCCCCTCTTAAGTGCCGCCAGCTGACACGGTTATAATTTCTCCATTTATTATCACGCTAGTAAAAAAAAGAACAAAGCTCCCCACCCCGCTATGCTTGCGTGCTGGTGCAGTATTTGCTATTTGTTTGTTTAAAAAGGGGCGTGGGGGCTGCTACAGTAATCTCTCCCTCTCTTTCCCCTCTTTCTTCTTCTTCTTCTTCTTTTTTTTTAAAGTTCATTATCATCACCAGAGGCGCGTCGTAGGGGTTAATTTAGCGCCGAGCTGGGCAGCGTCAGGGCGCACACAGTGGACTAGTTGTGCCGATCACTCCCGCAGAGGCGATGCCCTTTTGTGGAGAGGTCTCTTGTCACAGAGGACAGACGGCATTCACAATCGGGACACAGGGACACAAAGAGAAGAACTGCATTTTAAAAGGCTCCATTCTTTCCCCGCTGCCGCTGGGTGTTGACTGTGGGTGTTTGAGAGGATCTTTGTTGCCCGGAGAAAAGTAGAGAAGAAGAATACGCGCCGTGAACGAGTTGGGGGGAATTTTATAGGGTTACTACAGTGCAGTCGATGCTGTCATCCACTCCACCTCTGTCTGCTTTCCCGGAGTTACTAGTCTTGTTTTGGATGACGAGCGGCGCTTTTACGCATTGTTTTACGCACTGATTGTACGAGTGGCGACTGGACAGGACACTGTCATGATGAACTTTCTGTCCCCGGTTCCTGCGGGGTAGCAGTTTGGACTAAACTACCTTTTGAGAAGAAGTACTTTTGTGGTTATCTCCCTAAAGGATGCCAGTTGATAACTACACAAACATGGAGGAAAAATTATGGATACTGGAGGACCTCAATATGATGTACATCCGTCAGATTGCACTCAGTTTGCAGGTAAAAGAAAACAATCAATTTCTAATCGAGCACCACTTGTCTCTGACCCTCTTCACACGTTGTTGGTGGTTATTTGCACAGTTGTGACCACTTTTCTCAAAGTGAGGTGTGCCACTGAAAGAATGAGTGATCAGGTGTCAGACTATTTTGCTTTCTTTGTCTCTGTGGCTCCACAAGCAGCCTCGCTGTTAAATGAAATGTATTTTCAGACGTGTTGTCCTCAAAGTACAGTGCATCCCTGTGTCCACCGACCAAGTCCACAGCTGTGCTTTGGCATGCTGTAAAGTTTACAGAGGGGCTGGTTGAAGAATCTTTCAGTGTGACAAACAAGTCGCGCTGACACTGGTGTGGTCTCTTCCCTCACAGATGGCAAAGCTCTCACTGACAGCAAATAGAAAACAACACTGCATGTCATCCATCTCTGCCTCAGTGTCTCCCCTTCCAACTGGGGTTCACTCACAGTCCACAGCTGCACATATGGGCCTCATAAGTCCCTGTGGGAGTGTGTGTGCGTGCATGTGAGTCGAGAGTATGCTTGTATTGTGTTCTAAGACAGACAGAGAAAGGAGTCAGTCGGCACAGTGTGACAGAGGTTTATCTTAAATGCAGTATCTCGCCAACTTTTTTCAAAATCTCCCCCATCTCTGTTCAGAGGAAATAGCCGAAGAATGTGTCTATTACATTCTTAAGAGAGCTGAAAGGAAGAGGAGACATATGGTCATTGGAAATGTTACAGGACTTTCAAAGGGAAATTCTTTTATACTTCATTTTCTGGCCTCATAATCTTTAAAGATATTGTCTGTGCTGCAGCTGTTTAAAGGTATAAAAAGCAGACTGCTTTTTCTCACTGTGTCAACTGAAATCTGTGTGTGACACGGAGGCTGGATGAGAGCTGATATCACTCACCGGTGTGTTGTACCTGCTAGCGGTTTGGCCTCATTTTTGCGTGTGAGGTGTTTATCTACCGGTGCCAAGTGCCACAGAGCATGCCAGGTGTTTGGCTTTTTATCACATAGGAGGAGATACGTGACAACAAAGCCACACAGACTCCTGCCAACTTCAGCTCGCGTTAAGCTGAGTTTATTCACTTTCTGGAATGCGACGGTTCACTTATTCTTGGACTGGGTTTGAAACTCTGACGACACTTGACAGCCACCTGTGTACAGTTATAAAGTGTACAAGTGATTTTTTTCCTGAAGCTTTTTAGTGCCTGTAGTCTGAAACACACTGTCACAAACTAGCGACCACAAGTTGTTTTTACCAACAAGTTGATCAGCCACTAATCAGGTTACTATTTCTGTCACAGAGTCTCCTTTGAAGGAATTTGTTCACTGCTTTGACATAAGTAGAAAATGGAGTTTTGCCTGGATATTAAATTGAAGGACATTATGGAGGAATGCAGGTAGCAGGCATTTCTATCCAAATATGTTTGTGCATTTTGCTGTCTCAGTTTCAGAGGTGTACAACCAAGACCATGAGCCTTTATTTAGCCATTTGGGAAAACTCTGTCATCGCTTCTCCTCCTTCACAGAGAGTTCAGAGGTGATGGTCAGCTGCGGGGAGGCATTTCTCTGCATTAAGCAGTGGGACTTTTCAGTTTGTTGGATAAGCTTGATTATTTTTTTGCTGGTAAACACTGGCTTGTTTGCTCACATGCTTATTCGTTCCTCTCGTTCTCCTCCCTCCCCCCATGTCTCCTCTGCCTGGGTGGGTTTATGAGACAGGGATTCTTTGTATGTGGCTGAGCTGCACGGCCCACAGTCGAACTGTAATTTCAGCAAGGTATGGATGTTTTTTTTTTTGCTCCAGGGTCTTTCATAAATGTCCTTTTGGGTCATCGGTACTTTTAGTTATTACACTGTAAACCCTTTTCTCCTCCATTGGTTTTCCCCCCTGAAGCAACGTACTGTATATCTGCCAACCACTCCCACCGCATGCTCACACACACATATACATTTACCACATACACAGAAGCACACCTTGTTTGCTACCTTTTTTTTTTTTTTTTCGTGCACTGGTCATCTCGAAAGATAAGAGTGTCCATCATTGTGAAAGAAAATTCAAAAGTGAGAAGATTGTGCATATACTGAAGCTCCAGCATTCCTCAGGCATGCATAATTGCTGTGTCAGGAGGGGAGAGAGAACAGCCATTGTGTTATTTTTCAAGCTCAGTAGGAAGCAGCATTTCTGCTCTTCAGGTTTTAACAAGTCTGTTAGACTAGGGATGGCTACATTCTTGGCTCCAGTGCGCTGTTTTCCTTCGTCTTCCTCTCTTGTGAGGCCCATGAGATGTTCACCGTCTGCTTTAGTTGCATGTAAACTGTAAAACGCGTTTTCCCCACAGGATGCAGGATTTTTCTCAGAGGAGAGGTGGCTGATGGGAAACAGGAAATGGCCATGTGCAATTACAGTTTCCCACCGGGAGAGATAACATGATGTCATTGAACCCGTCGCCATTCATAAACACATATGCACCATTTCCTGTCATCACAAACAACCACACACACAGCGTTTTTTTTGTTGTTGTTGTTTACTCCATATCTTATGCACCCCGCAGTTTCCAGCGTTCTCTGCCTCCCCAAGCTTAGTCTCCCCTATCCTGTCCTGTTATTCCCATTGATAGCCCCAGGGCCGTAGATGGACACTTTGGCCCTGATCTAATTTTAGCCTCCATTGCGGAGTTACATGCCAGCATTTGGAAATGGGTTTCTGAGGTCATGTGTTTTTGCCCAAGTTACAAAGGCAGGATTTGTGCTGGCTGCTGCTGATCATGCCAGTGATATCATCTGATGAAAGATTAAAGAGATTCCCTTTAGGGGTTCTGCTGCAGTTATCACAGCCGCTGAGACACTGTGACCCATCACCATTCGTCGAACATGCAATCGTTTACAAGTTATAAAGTCTATAATTGAAAAAGCAACACTGATATTGTCTGAAGATATTTCTCCACGCTTGTATATTGGTTAGCACTAAAGGCCCAAAGCATTCTCCTAAACCACATGTGTAGTCTCTCTGGATTTTACTGGACCATCAAACAGCATTTCTTTTATTACTTTGAGGTCTCTCACAATATTGTGCTTGTAAACTGGCAGATTACATCTTTAAATTACGACTTTAATGTTGTTCTTTGTAAACTACTTGTGTAGAAGACCCTGAGCAACAAGAGACCCCAGCATGTTCTCAGTAGCTCATCTCTATCCCTGGTCCACTCACATGGGGGTCACGGAAGGGAGTTTCTTGCTGCCTCACCCAGGACTCATGTTTGACCTCTCACACGCTCCCAAACCCTAAACTTAGCTCAGGCAATGGCTCAGATATTTTTACAGATTCTAGACACTGCAGTCTGGCCATAAATATCCATGGGCTGGTATTCAAGCAACGTCTCTTCACTCGATCTCGGACCGCTGGTCAAGCTGTCCCGACCGTATGATTGAGTACGACTGATCAGAAGCAACGCCCCCAAGTGAGATCGTTGCCTCCCTCCGTTTGAAAATGCAATGATGTAACCGCATGGAAATATTCTTTTCTATATGATTCCATCTGTACCCTTGTCATGCGCCTGAACACACACTGCGCTGATTTCACCATTCCCCTGTGGAATACAACACCTTGAAAGAATCATCCCAGCTAACAGATATTTCTCAGCTCCAGTCCCTTTAAACCCCTCAGATCTCCTGCTTTGTAAATGGAACAGGTCTTGGAGGGGCAGAGGCCAAATTGACAGCAGTTAATCCCTGCCTGCTTTGGGACAGTAAACCAGTACTTTTAACTGCTCTGTAACTGGTTTCATGAATGGATGATGAATTTATAGCAGAGTTAATCTTGCTCTTCAGAAAAACGGTGCATGTACGGTTTATCTTCAATCCCCTGGCCTTGAGTTTTTGTTGCATTTCATTTTATTCATATCTTTTATCCTTTTACTATCAGTCCTTATCCGTTGCCCAGATCTTCCCTCCTCGTGATAACCTTATCATCTGAAGTCGGTATCATTATATTCCTCCATGTGGCAATCAGTCGGCCGTAGATATCTGCATCTGTGCATCTGTAGGTGACTTTCTATGTGTGTTAGTTCAGCTGGAACATTGTTTAGGTAGCCTAAGTTACACCAGATCCAAATAGAAGGTGTGCTAAAGCTAACAGCACGTGCTCTCTTGTGATACAAGATACACAAGCCACGTCTGAGCCAAAACACATTCCTGCACAACGGACCACTTCATCGTACGAACCGCCCTGCTGAGCTCATCTGCGTGTGCCTCAGAGAGTGTGTGTAAGTAAATATTTGCAAAGAGCAATAATCCAATACTGTAAGCTGTATAATCTTTAATTTAATTAGGCGCATTAGGTTTATCACCCTGGGTTTCACTGTGAATGTGAGTTTTTTGGGGTTTTTTTAATGGACTATTTTCATTTGTTTCGAATTAGATGAAAGGCTTTGAAAGTCTGCAGTAGTACAGCAGCCGAAAATGTGAAGAAACAGCCATGTTTATTTACTTAAATGGGTTATGCACATGTGTTTTAGTCTGTTTGCTGTGTGTGTGTGTGTCTGTGTGTGTGTCTGTGTTGTGTTTTGAAAGTGTTTCTTTGGCATCTGCACCCTGCATTGCTACAGTAGGTTCCAGTTCTTCCAGTGCAATGTGCCAAATGCAAGCATGGTGTGTTTGAGGTGGAGGAGAAAGGGGGCTTTGTATCACATCCCACACACCCAGTGCTCCCCACCAAGCCCTCCTCTCCTTCTTGGAACAGCACATCCAGCTCCTAACCCACAGCCGTGCAGCGAGCTTCAGTTCTACTCACTGCAGTCCAGATCAGCTGGCTCTCCACCTCACTTTTGCACCTCCAGCATTCCCCATATCCCCCTAGGTGTTACCACAGCGTTGCATCCCCCTCTGTACCTCAGTCCTCACCCTCAGACGTCGCCCCAGCAGTTAGGAGGAGCAGCGCAGGTCTGAATAGGCGCTCTGTGAGAGCAGGAACCAGTTAGATGCTGCGGCCCGAGCCAG